CTTGGTGCCCTTGATGTGATTTACCACCTAATCAATGTGCCGGTTAACCACACACGCTACATTGATCTATAATAAACATCGAGTCACCCTTCGCCACCATTGCTAGTCCATATTAGTGTGTCGATTATCCATGCACACTCCTCTAACGACATGGAATGGCGCAAAGTGTAATTTCATGGAATAACATCATTTCACATTTTTTTTTCCTAAAGTAACTAAGATTGAGAATTTTACAAAAAACATCCAGGTACTTTATTTAATCATTATACTTTTAATGAAGAGTTAATTGCCTTATCATACCCGTTCGGCTAATGACCCTCCACCAATCAAGGAAGCGGTGGGTGAGAGCGGGCACCCATTAAACAACCATTTTATAGGCAACAACCTTATAACCCCCCATCTTTTAGATCAGCTTCGTGAATGAGGTCTACTAACGGTAAGACTAGCTTATCTTATACATATATATTATTAATATTATAATATTATAATAGTACAAAGGTTGAATTTTAAACTTGTAAAATTCTAGGGTTTAGAATTTAAACTTTTCAAAATTAAACTTTTAATAAAAAAATTTAAATTCCAAAACTTGAGGGCAAGTTTTGAAAATTTTCAAAACTTTCTAGATCAAATTACAAATAATTTAATTAAACAATTAATTAGTGATTATCCAAATTTGACCTAATTCGATTTCATGGCACAATAATGCAATCAAATAATTAAAATTATCATATAAGGCAATAATTATCTGCTTAATTAGCAATTATCTTCTATTTTGATAAGGATAATCAAATCAATTTAATAAAAATTGGATTTTATTAATTAAAAACATTTTTCGTAATTATCCCAATCCAAAATAGACCAAAATCCTGAAACATCTGCTTTCTGACTCTCCGAGTCACAGACTGGACTCGTCGAGTTCATTAGGTGACTCGACGAGTTCAGCTGTCAGAGGGCAGAAATTTCAAATTTTCAAGCAATGAATGATTAAACAAGGCATCAAATACAATTGAAAACAGACTAGGCTCTGATACCATTGATGGGTTTTGAGCATTACATCAATCCTATGGTGCACATGCAAACCCTAAATCTTGGATCTAGGTTTCTCTAATTGTACATGCAAACCATCCCAAGCTTGTAAACTGTAATTCTAACATAGAAAAATCGAAAAATCATAACTAAAATAGGGTTAAGAAATTGTCTTTCAATTGTAGCTTTAAGATCCTGAGCTTTGAGAACCTAGCACATCAAATGTGATGCCTCTAATGAATCACAAACACCAAAGCAAGTTGGATGATCTTCGAGAGAGGGGAAGGAGGCTCAAAATTGGGTCAATGATCTCTAGGGTTCCAGTGGTAGCCGATTTGTGAAGCCATAGGGTCCTTTATATAGTTGAGCTGCTAAGGTTTCAGTCAAAACCCTAATTTGATTGCTTAGGCCTTAAGCAGTCCACAAGAAGCTTCCAGGAACAAGGCCTTGGACGAAATCAGTATGGGCTTTCCCCTTGATTTCGTCCACCCCATTTATAAGGGATCCACAACCCAAAATCCAATTATCTTATAATTTCAATTCTAGTCCCTATGTTTAATTAATATCTTTTGATCACAAAATTAATTCGCAATTAATTATTAACCAATATTAATTAACCATGATGATTTCTCTTTTAATATATTATTCATATAATATATTAATAAACCATAATAACTTCTTTCTCCATTAATCATCCAATCAAGTTGCTCTAATGAAGGCAACCCAAAAGGACCATGCTACAACCGGGTCAAGTACACACCAAATATAGTTATCGGCTTAGACACCTAGTCCAACAAGTTCCTTCACTGTACTCGTGGGTCGAAGGCACCAATGTCACATGTTGGATTATGTTTGTAGGATGATAATTGTTTTTATGACACTTGTTATACATGTATGTGCTCCTTACTTTGTGACTCTTGTTGATATGGTTGTATGCTTAGTTGTAGTGGTGAAATAGACCCGATACTGGTTGAAAGAGACCGAATAGGGTGAAATAGACTTGATATCGGTTGAAAGAGACCGAAAGGGTGAAATAGAACTGATATCAATTGAAAGAGACCGAAAGGGGTGAAATAGACCAAATACTAGTTGAAAGAGATCGAATGGGGTGAAATAGTGTTGGGTTTTATGTACTCTAACATCCTAATGGTTCACATACAACCCTAATGCTTTGGATCTAACTTTTCTCTAATTATACATGCAATATTCATTTTCCAAAGCATGAAGCCTAACTAGCATGCAAAGGTGATATTTGAATCATAAAAACTAGTTAGAAGATTACCTTGTGTAGTAACTTGTAGAATCTTGGCCTTAAGAGAGCTTAGCACCTCAAGTGTGATGCCTCAAACAAGTCACAAACACCAATAAACAACTAGATGAATATGAGAGAGGTTTGTGAGATTCTGAAATCGGCTAGATCTTCTTAGAATGCAAGGGTCATCGATTTTGGGGCTTAGGGTATACATTTATAGTGTAGAATTCCAAGAGTCGTATGTTTAACCCTAATTCTTACACTTAAGATTATGATCCAACAATTGATTCGGACTAACACTTTAAGGACTAACTCATAAGCTTAGCCCATCACAAATCATTCATTGACCATTAGCCTAAATCATATGTATCACTGATTTATATAATAAGTCCCCATTAATTTAATTAGTCTCTTTTTGATCACTAGATTATTTCTTTATCAATACTAATTAAATAATATGATTTCTCAATTAATATATTATTCTTATAATATATTAATAAATAAATAAAATAAGCTCTTTCTCAAATATCCATCTATCAAATTGTTTTGGTGAAGGCAACCCGAAATGGACCATGCTATTATCGAGTAAAGTACATACCAATTATAGTTATGGACTTAAACACATAATCTAACAGTCTCTCACTTGGATAAGTCTAATAACTATAATTGCCAATTCAACTTCAAAATTCGATTAGCAATTGTAGCTCTCTAAAAGCCGTTGTCGAACTCTGATGTGTCCATTAGATAAGGGATAATATAATCCTCTGTTCTTCAGAGATATTGTGTGGACAAAGAAATGGAATAAAGTCATACTCATTGTTTAACAGTTTTTTCGCGATTTCTGATTTGTTTGACATAGAACTTAATTAAACACATCAATTGAGTCCTGACCGGGCCCGACACATAAGTCAAAACAAAATCATTGAGGGGCCCAAGATATCGCTTTTAATCCTCTTATGATAAAAGGAACAGATAAACTTTGACTTATATGCTTGTACTAACTACTCGTTAAATCATACACAACATCACGTTTTATAACATTGAGTTACTGATGCGTTTTCGTACTATCAATGCACAACCAAATTGTAGTCAACAACTCATATATATTGGTTTGAAGACTATACACTATTATCATCTCAAAATCACTCGTGATAAATTCCATGAAGTGATTCATGTGAGTGTGGGTTTAGTCCAATACTCAAATCTTATTTCAAGAGCACTCATAAATGTTTGTAGAAAACTTTTGCAATGTATAACTCCTTAGACAATTTTACAAAACCCCATTCATGATAGTCTACTTTCATAACCTGCTTCCAAACTATGATTGACTGTGGATAGTTTGAATAATCTTATTATTATGGAAGTCAAAACATGCAAAATGAAACAATAGTAAACAATTGACATAAGATAGTAACTTTAATTATTAATAAAATAATCCTTTTATTCAATCATCGAATTTCAATTACATTTTAGCTATTACAAGTTTTTAAATATCTATCTAATCACTAAAACTAATATCGTCCTTCAGCCTGATACTCCTACCATGCTGCAAGTGCTTAACCCTACTCAGTCCCTTCGTAATGGGATCTGTTGGGTTCTCTTCTGATGATACCCCCTTCATTACTGTCTTATGAAGTGATATTTTTTATCAATGTGTCTGGATCTGCCATGATCCCTTGGTTCCTTGGCTAAGGCGACCGCACCCTCGTTGTCACAAAAAATCTCCACAGGATCTTTTATAGCTGGTACAACTCCAAGATCTCCGATGAAGTTCTTTATCCATATCGCCTCCTTCGACGCTTCACTTGCTGCTATATACTCTGATTCTCACGTTGAATCAACTACAGTCTTCTGTTTGGAACTTTTCCAAGTTACTGCTCCTCCATTTAAGGTAAATATTCAGTATGACTGAGAGCGGAAATTATCTATGTCAGTCTGAAAGTTGGCATCAATATACCCTATCACTCTCAAGTCATTGCTCCCACCGAGGGTAAGGACCCAGTCTTTTTTCCTTCGGAGGTACTTGAGAATGTTCTTTACCGCAGTCCAGTGAGATTTACCAGGATTCCCTTGATATCTACTAACCATGCTCAAACAAAGGCTACATCAGGGCGAGTACATGGCATAGCATACATGATCGAGCCAACTGCAGAGCCTCTCTCCTGGTTAATATAACTATTTTACGATTGCAATATCTTTAAAATCTTGGTTCACTTTTACTTGTAGATTAACCAATTTGTAATTGCATGTTAGGAGTTGGTTTAGGAGTGTTCCACATGTTTACTAGTTAAAGTTTAGATGCAATAGATGAAAGATGTCATAGTTTATAGTCAAGATACCACAACAAAAGTTACTTTATAAGGTTTTAGGTTAAAAAGAAAAAATAAAAGAAAAATGCTAATAAAACAAAAGGCTTCTACTAAAACCAAGATTTTAAAAAGCTCATCATGGTTTCAAGACTTGTACTTGACACCACACTTAAACAAAATGTCGTCATAAGTCATATATGTTTATGAAAATGAATAACAGTAGAATATATATATATATATATATATATATATATATATATATATATATATACACACACACACACACACACACAAAATTGCCGCCTTAAATCACACCATAAAATGACGTGACTCGTCACAATTCGTTAAAACTTTAGATATGACATTGCTGCAAAGTTATACCTAACCTTAACCTTGACTAAAACCAATCACATCAACCGGTTGTGAATATAAAAACTAAGAGGGTTAGAATGTAAAACCGTTAAAGTAGAAGGTCCATATAAATCAGAATGAAAGCGTGGGGGCTCTTTTCTACCAAGAACGTATGTATATCCAACTTCCTTTTTGAACTTGCTCCCCCCTTTCTAAAACCCTAACCCTCTTGGCGCTCATCGCTTCCCGAAATCTGCCATACCTTAATCTTCAGATCGACGACAATGTCGATGTCGAAGGGTTCGAAGATGCTGCAATTCATAAATTATCGTATGCGGGTCACAATCCAAGACGGCCGTCAGCTAGTTGGTAAGTTCATGGCCTTCGACCGCCACATGAATCTCGTCATCGGCGATTGTGAGGAGTTCCGTAAGCTCCCCCCTGCAAAAGGTGCTAAAAAGAATGAAGAACGCGAGGACAGGCGGACTCTTGGTCTCGTTCTTTTAAGGGGCGAAGAGGTGATTTCCATGACTGTTGAAGGCCCTCCGCCTCCTGATGAGAACCGTGCCAAGGCTGTTGGAGCGGCTGCGTTGGCCGGTCCCGGTCTTGGTCGTGCTGCCGGCCGTGGAATCCCAACTGCGCCTTTGATTCAAGCTCAACCGGGTTTAGCTGGACCGGTTAGGGGAATTGGTGGACCGGCTCCAGGCATGATGCAGCCGCAGATTTCTCGACCTCCTGTTCCGAATATGTCTGCTCCGCCGATGAACTACCCGCAGGCTCCTGTGATTCGACCTGGACAGATGCCGTACCCGGGACAGGGTCCTCCGCCTCAGATGCCACGCGGACCACCTCCACAGATGCCGCCTCAGTTTGCTCAACGGCCTCCTGGTCAATATCATGTCCCTCCCCCCGGGCAATATGGGCAGAGGCCTATGGCTCCCCCTCCCCAGATGATGAGGGGTCCACCACCACCAGGGGGCGCTCCACGTCCCGGTATGCCTTCTCCTGGTGGGCAGATTCCTGTATTTGGGCCTCCTCGTCCTGGTATGCCTCCTCCGCCAAACTCTCAGCAGCAGCAGCAGCAATGATTGGTACGTGTCTTCTTATTGGGCATCCATCTTTCTTGGACTTGCTAGAATGTCTCTCCTTGGATGAACAATTGTTGTTCTACAGAAGGCTTTAGTTATTTCTGAACTATCAATTTGAATCCGGATTCAGTTTAAGTAAAATTAGACATGTTAGTATCTATTCAACCTTAACAAGTTGAACCTAACTCATATAGTAACTTACAGAACTGAGAGTCATACCCAGTAATCTATTTATGTTTGGGAGTAGAACTTATGGCTAATAAACGATACAGTTATATTCTGTGACAGGGGGGTTTGGCAAATCTGTGGAAGATATTTTTTACTGGGAATTCAATGCTTATAAGCTGCAGAAAACATGCTCAGCTTGAATATTTCCAAATAGGGTTTGTATTGGTGTTTAAACGTTACATTCTTGTTGGACTTGATTTTGTTTTATGTTGGATTTGGCAAATGGCAATTAGCGCATATCATAAAGTCATGACCATTAAAAAATATCATTTTGCAGAAGTGTGAGTTCAACTGGTGGCGCCCTTGTGTCTGTGTGATCTTTATGGCTGGCTAAATGCTAATGGCTATATATATATATATATAAGTATATTTTCTTTTCCCCTTCATCTCTCTCATTAGTTGTTATGCAATAATGTCTTTTGAATATTTGATTATTTGCATTGGCAAATTGGATTAGGTTCTCATCAGAATCAGATGGCTTCCAAGTTCTAACTGACATGGATTCTACTTGGTTTGGTATTTCATATGTATATGTTTCGTTGATAAAAACTAGTTTTTTTTTTTTTTTTTTTTAAATGTTATTTTCAATGAAAAGGATTTGACATTTTTTCCACACATTTCAGGTACAAGTCTTGGCTACATTTTCAACAATGTTTTTTGTCATTAATCCTGGAATTTAGTTTTGTGTGCTATTTGGGACCATGTCATTTTTATTTTGTACCTTGGAAAAAAACCATTGTTCCCCACTAATGCCGGTTTTTAAAGCTTTTCTCAAAGTTTTAAGGACTTTTCTGAACATTAACAATCAGAAATGACTTTATCTCCATAGGGTTAAAGTTTAAGGACTTTTCTAATTATTTTTTTTAATATATACTAAGTTAATGAAGAAACTCATATTTATTTATTAAAAAAATAAAATAATGATAATTTATATATCATTTTTTATTTATTTATTTATTTATTATTTCTTCAATAAATAATTAAATATCATAAGTATATATCATTTTTAGTATGTGGTTTTATAACTATTATAGCTCTTATAACTAGTCCCGACAATTCTCGACACAACTTGTGACCCTACACGAATGGTCCCTATGGCTTAGGTTAATTTGCATGTTTGGTATCTAACATATTTTTTTAACTTAGAAGGTATCTATTGTTTGTTTTTGTTGCGTGTTTGATCAATGTCATAGCTAAAAATATTATTTTGATATTGATTTTTTATTAATTTAAATAAATAAATTAGATAGGTGAGGTGGAGGTGGGGTTGGGGTGTGTTTATTTAAATAAATTAAAAAATCAATAACAAGATAGTCTTTTTAGGTAAGCCGCGCAACAAAAAATCAGTAGAGACCTTCCTAGTTAAAAAAAATAAGTTAGAGACCGAACGTGCAAATTACACCAAACCATAGGGACCATTTGTGGAATATATATATATATATATATATATATATATATATATATATATATATATATATATATATATATATATATATATATATATAAGTAGGATCCAACTTATGATCGATTTGACCGTCCAACCCGTGACCTATATATATATATATATATATATATATATATATATATATATATATATATATATATATATATATATAAAAAGTAGGATCCAACCTATGATCGATTTGACCGTCCAACCCGTGACCTATATATATATATATATATATATATATATATATATATATATATATATATATATAAAGTAGGATCCAACCTATGATCGATTTGACCGTCCAACCCGTGACCTATACAGTTAAATAAGTTGTGTTTGGGTTTGTTTGTCTTGACCTGACAACCTATACAGTTAAATAAGTTGTGTTTGGGTTTGTTTGTCTTGACCTGACAACCAAACACGATATGATTGTCAAACCTACTTATAATATTCTTTGTAAATATTTAACCATATTAGCATTTAAGTTATGTGTTAAAGAACAACTTGAATTTAATTTGGCTGCTTCTAAACTCCTTTCGTTGTCATTTTTTATACCTAAGTCATTTTTTTGAATATTCAATCTTAATTTATCTACGAGTCATGTTTTTAAGCTACTGACTACCTTCATTTTTTGAATATTCATGTTTTGGTGTAAAATAATGATTTAGGTGTAAAGAATAACAAATGATAGAATTTTTATTAAGAGATCAAAATAAGTTTAAGTTGTTCTATAACACATAATTTAAATATCAACGTGGTTAAATAGTTGCAAAGAACGTTATAAAACCTACACTAGTTATAAAAACACCTAAAAATAATATATAGTTTGCATCAGTGGCAGAACCAGAAATTTTTGCAAAGGATAACAAAAAAATCCAATAAAAGATTATAAGATAAGCTTTTTTTAAATTATGATTTCATTAGTTATAAAAGGGGAAAATGACTTCATAGGGTAAGATATTTTTTAAAATGTACACATTTAGTCCTTATTATTATTTTTTTTTGTAAAATAAACCCTTATACTTTATTTTTTTTGTATCAATATAATCTATGTGATCGGTTATACCCGGTATACCGGTCATATACGAATTTTCTTGTAGGGAAAGTGACTTGATAAGGTAAGATACTTTTTGAATTGTACACATTTAATCTTTATTCTTTTTTTGTAAAATAAATCCGTATACTTTATTAATATGTACACATTAGGTCATTTTTCATCGGATTATATAGGTTTTGCTGATGTCGAAGTACAAGTGGCACTAAATAGCAATCAATTAGTTTAGTCACCGGAGGTGGGTGATCCTCCAACAACAAGAAAAGGGCGGCGACCCTTCTCTTTCTCGTCTCTCTTTCTTCCGGTCGAACAGCAACAACCAAACACCCTTTACCTGTTGTGTTTCTCCGATCTATCTCTCTTTGCCTCCATCTTTGAGATATGTTGCCAGAAAAAAGAAGAAAGAATCGATGACGGGGCTACCAGAGCAGCTCCTCGCCGCCAACTACCGTCTCTACTTCCTCCTGCCTCCCCCTTCGACCTTGCTGTTTTTGCAATTATTCCTCCTTGCTACCAGTTATGTGTAGGAACACACAAAGGAGTCGCTGGAGATCGGGGTTCTTTCTCTTTTTCATGATGAATAAAAGTTGGAAAAATCTCGTTGTGGATATGTGGATGCCACCTGGGTATTTCATTTCAACAAAATAAAAGAAAGAGAAAAATCGAAAATGACTTGATAGTGTAAGATACTTTTTGAAATGTAGATATTTAATCCTTATTCTTTTTTTTGTAAAATAAACCCTTCACGTTAGCAAAACCTGTAGAATCCGGTGAAAATGACCTAATTTGTACATATTATTAAAATATAAAGGTTTATTTTACAAGAAAAAAAAATAATGACTAAATGTATACATTTTAAAAAATATTTTACCCTATCAAATCATTATCCCTTGTAAAAGCTTTCAACAATTTCATTGTCATTACCCTATCAAGTCATTATCCTTATAAAAGCTTTCAACAATTTCATTGTCATTACCCTATCAAGTCATTATCCTTATAAAAGCTTTCAACAATTTCATTTTCATTTTCAATTAAGAAACCGCTTCCAAAATATAATTCCATTATTGCATTGGTTATAAGAAAAATTAAATTACGATTTGATTAGTTAACTTTAAGTTTTCAATTTGAACTATTAAATTAAACTAAAATAGTAAAACATTATGCTTAACATAAATAATTTATACTTCTTTCATAGTGATGGAGATGCAAGGCACCAAACATTCTTTTTGTTGATGTGCGTTTTGTGATGAAACGTATTGAGCTATTAATTCCACCGTCCATTTTTTATTTTTTATTTTGTAGGCTTTTAAATTCAGTTAGAGGATTGTTATTTGGATTAGGAATTAGAATTTTGACTTTTTATTAAGCCTATTACACACACATATATATATATATATATATATATATATATATATGTTCAAGTTATTTGAGATCATTCGAATTTTGTGAGACCGTGAGACCAAATCTAAAAATAATTTTAAAATGCAAAATAAATGGAAAAATCCAAAAATTCTTTTTTAAATATTTTTTTCGGAACTTGAATTAACTAAATTTTTTTTTTTTAAAATTCTAAAAAAAATCCCGTTTTTTTTTTTTTAAAATACGTGAAATATTCTAAATACAATATTACACTGACATATTCTAAAAAATAATTTTAAAATGCAAAATAAATGGAAAAATCTAAAAATTCTTTTTTTAAATATTATTTTCGGAACTCAAATTAACTAAAAAAAAATAAAAAAAAAATCTATTTTTTTGAAAAATACGTGAAATATTCTAAATAGAATATTACACTGTACATATTCTAAAAATAATTTTGAAATGCAAAATAAATGGAAAAATCAAAAAATTCTTTTTTTAAATATTATTTTCGGAATTTGAATTAACTAAAAAAAATTTTAAAAAAATAAAAAATAATAAAAAAAATGCGTCTCACGGTATAACAAAATTAGGCCGTCTCAGATGAACCGAACCATATATATATATATATATATATATATATATATATATATATATACACATATATATATATATAGTGAGAGAGAGAGAGAGAGAGAGAGTCAAGATCAAATAAGAAAGAAATTTTTGGTAGGAAGGTAAGAAGTTTTTTTTCTACATATTTTTTTCGCGAACAAACAAAATAAATCATTAGATGATTCATTTGAAAGATGATTTACAAGAAAAAATTCTCAAAAAAACATCTCGATGATTGATTTATATAATGATTTTGTTGTTATTCACTAAAATTGTCATAAAAGTGGATTTTTT